TTCCTAAGGAGCTCTAGTTTTCTTTTTTAGCCTTGTCCCTGATTTACTTGGGGCCCCATGAAGGTCTCTCGCTAGAGGGAAACAGCTATGGTTTGGGATTTTGGGATCAGCAAACACGCAAGGGCTTAGAATTGCATGGTGCCCCCTCAATCTAGCACCACTGTTTCGGGAGAGTGACATAAATCCATGTTTTTCCGGTAATTGTTGAGCATTGCTATACTTGGAGAACCTCGCTGTAAGTAGGTCTAGTTCTGGGGAGTAGCCAGGACCATTATATCTGCTCTCTCTGGGAATCAGGGGCAATATTGACGGTAGAAATACCTGAACTCTGAGTAGATTTCTTGCCTCTTCTGTCAGATTTTGGGCATGGATACTGGGTCTTGCACTACCATTTTTCCTGGAAAAGATTTACTTGTGGGATCTTCCTCCCTATAGATCTGATATTATCCTTTCCTCTCAGTGTTCTTGTAGGAGTGAATGTTGAGGGGTTTTTAACTGTGAAATAAACGGCCCTCTTGTACTATGGCGTGGCAGAGGTTGCTGAAATCATGATTATTTCTAGGAATCTGATGCTCATGTTCCCTTTTAAAGACTTTACTTTTGGTTTTATGTGTTGGAGATCTACTTTTCATGGAAATGAAACTGGAAAAGAAACTGGTTGCCACTAACAGGCAATCAACCTCCTTCTTCAGCTACCGGTTGTCAGCAGACATTGTTTGTTTCTGTTCAAGATGTTATATTTTAACATGGAGAAGTGATGGAATGTCCTAATATTTTCCTCTGTTTCATTGGTTTTTCACTATAAAGTCACTAGTTTTGCACAGGAACAGTGATTTTCTGTAAGGCAAATGGGATAGCAGCGTATGTGTTACTGTGCTGGATTCATGGACAAATGGAGTGTTCACTACTCTTCACTTTATCAGGCTTCATCTTCTTTGTATTCAACAGAACAATAACTATTACTTCCATCTGACTTCACTCATATTTGCTGTTGATTTAATCCTTATTTTAGGGAGTCTTGTGTTTCCTCAAAGAAGAGCCCTTGAATAGAAATTGAGATTTTATAATCATGTAGTAATTTGGTACATTGACATTGCAAATTCAACCGGCCTAATTTAAGGTTGGACAAGGCACTTAAAGCCAAGTGGGTGCCAGTGAGTGAAAGGCAATAAGGAAGTCTTAGAGCTATTAGCTGGTTAGTACTTTTTGATGTTTAAGGATCATTTGAGTGCTGTAAGTGTGAAGAAAATGTAACTATTTTGAGGGATGACTAACTCCATTGTAGCTTGCTTTTTGGTTTAGCTTTAAACAGCTCTTTGAGCATTCCTCCACAAGCAAACAAACTCTCCCTTCAGTTGCTGGAAATTTAAAATGGACTGATGACGGTAGAGTCAGTGAAGAATTCTGTGCACGAGAAGAAACAGATCAAGTTGAAATTCTCCTCCTAAGCAAATTTAAGCAAGTCTAAGCAAGGTTATGAAAACATGCATAATCAGAAGGCAATAGTATATGGGGGAGATAAAAGCACTAGTAGAGGGCACAGTGAAAGAAGGAGGATTGTATATTATGTAGAGGATTATATATTCATTTATGTATTGATCAGAGTTGTAAGTAGGAATTATTTTATGTAATTTAATTCAGGGTATTTAGTGTTTTAAAAAGGATAAACACCTCTGTTCTACCATCGCTTTTTCTGTAGTCTTAAAGGACCTGAATCTATGTCCATGCTTGTCCAAAGGCCATGCTCTTACTAGATACTAACTTCACCAGGGGCTCGAACGTGTAGTCCGCAGTCCTGGGGGTCCGTAGGGTACTCCTCTGGTGACTGCCAGGAATGAGGCAGAAAAACAAGTTCTACAAAGCCAGTCTTCCCGTGTTAAATATCTGAATAAGCCCACTCTCCAAATAGGAAAAGCTTAGGGATTCAGAAGCTTAAGAAGGTTGAAAATCACAGCTTTTAAGTCCAGCACACATCAGTGTTAGGGAAGGTGGAAGAGTGCATGCATACAGTGAAAACCAACAGTGCCACCTGGTGTGAGTGGGACAGGAGGGTTGGTCCATGAGGAGGGCAAATGTCCCCAGGTATGTGCCCAGCTCCTCCACCTTGGGGTTGGAGCGAGACTGTAGCCAACAGGGAGAGGGCAAAGGGCTTCTAAGGTGGGATGGGTTCTCTTTAGACCTGCAGGAGGTAGGTGTTTACTGCCTCACTGTGAAAGGCGGAGATGATGGGTATGTTAGGGTCACTCAGCCTGTCATTAGAATCACGGAATGGTTTGGGTTGGAAGGGGCCTTAGACACCTCCAGGGAGGGGGCATCCACAACCTCGCTGAGCAGCCTGTTCCAGTGCCTTGCCACCCTCACCACGAAGAACTCCTTCCTTACATCTAATATAAATCTACACTCTTTCAGTTTAAAGCCATTACCCCCTGTTCTATCACTACATGCCCTGGTAAAACATCCCTCTCCAGGTTTCTTGTAGGCCTCTTTCAGGTCCTGGAAGGCCACTATAAGCTCTCCCCGGAGCCTT